TGGTAATGATGGTTAATTCGTCACTGAATTCCCATGTTTTTTGGGACACCCTGTATCATTTTGCAAATCCCACGCTTTGGGCTAAAAACTGAAACCAACTAATTTTAAATATTTTGATGATTCAAAGATTTAATGAAATTTTTATGAAATAAGAGTTAAAAATGGCCAAAAACTTTTGTTTTTTTTCTGGCCGCTGGCGAAATAATTTGGTCCCTAAAAAAATATTTAGGATTTTCCTTAGTTTCATATATATATCTAGGGTTTCCAGTGAATGAAACTTTTCGCGAAAAAATGCGAAAATTTTCGTTCATATATCGCAAACATTTCCGCGAAATAACGCATTTTTTTGCGAAAATGAAAATGAAGCGATAAATGGAAAAACGAAGTGAAATAGTAACTGAGGTTTTATCCAATTATTATTTTATTATTTTTATTTTTATTTTTAATAGATAATTATTTATAAAGTCCGTATACTATGTCACAAGAACTCCCACCAATGAGAGTGCAGTATACTGGTCATGTGAAACAGACAGAGACACATGACCACTATACTGCACTACCCATGGTGGGAGTTTTGGTGACGTAATACGGACTTATATAAATAGTATTATTGATTATATCTATTAAAAATAAAAATAATAATTGGAGAAAATCTAAGTTACAATTAGGTTTCTCTGGGATATCTTCGTTTTCAGATTGGTTTCATATTTGATGAATGATCTCTTTAAAACTACTATTTCTATACAAAATTGAATATATATAAATTTTCGTATAAATTTAACCCAGTTTTATATTAATTTCTCGAGACAGGAACATCAGATATAACTTTCATGGGTCGCGATCAGAGCTATAAAGTGATTAGCTTTCAGCCTATACCCCCTTTCATTTTTCCTTTACAATCCCTGAAGTATTGCTATAATGTCGTCTTTCTTCTTTCTATTCCATTGTTTTCTGGTTAATCACTGCATTTACCAGAAAACAATTTTAAAAAGTATTTAAAAATTCAGGTAATTTATTCAATACTATTTTCGTTTTATCTTTCATCCCAATTGATAATTTTATGTCATATCATAAATTTTCTTAAGGGGGGGGGCATGGGTCTAGGCCCCCCCCTCTAGTCCGCCTCTGGTGTAATATGAATATTGCTGACCCTCCACTTTGGGGGTGGGACGGAACCCCTGGACGCCATGAGCTTCTGCTATGCAGACACGAGCCTCCCAGATTTGCGACAGTGAAACCCTTAATAACGAATACATCGAAAGAATTCATCAAATGTCGTATTCTTCACTTTCTGATAATGGAATGATGCAGATATTTAGTTTTTTAATTAAATGATTATATGGAACTCTTTAAAACTGTTCCCGCATATTCATGGCTATTTATTTATTTTCGCAAATACTGAAATTTACGTAATATAGTATAAAACTCATTGAAAAATTGTCAAGACGACATTAAATTCTTCCGATGTATTCGTTATTAAGGGTTTCACTGTAGGCAGACCGAGCCTCCACTATGCAGACAAAGCCTCTGATGTGTAATGAAAAATGTTAACAATTTTTTTCACATAGTGGCATGAGAGGTTTCTCAAAGATGAGAAGTATTTATCAATTATCATAAAAAGTTCGTAGCTAATACTTATAAAGTGGTATATAAAACTTTAAACATTCTTTACATGAAAAGAAAAATATTTACAAAAAAGAATTTGAATTGAATTTTATTTCATTTTTATAATCTTTGATTTAAGCAATACCTTTATTTGTAGTTCAAGTTTAATATAGAAAATTTGTATAATTTATTTAAATTTTAAAATTTTTCAAAATAAGGTATTGATTAAATCAAAGATTACAACAAAACAATCTAAATTTACTCCAGAAATATCTTCCTTTCTATGCATAAGAAATGTTTAAAGTTATAGTATAAATCTTTTAAACCACTTTACGAGTCCATATATGTTTTTAATCATGACAATCAATAAATAAATCTAATAGTAAAATTCTTAGGCCACTACGTCAAAAAAATTGTTAACATTTTTCATTACACTATAAAAACTAAGATTTAAAAAAAGCTGTAATTGTCCGTCTTCACTGTTCATCTTGCGAACATTTTATAGACACATCTAGGGTTGTTAATCGTTTTTGTAAACGATCGTTAAACGATATCGTTAACCGATCGATTTTTGTTTCGTTTTCAAAAACGATCGTTTCGTTTTCGGAAAAAAACGATCGTTTTTAAATACGACCCACTCGTTTTGAACTTTTAAAAAACGAATAGCGACCGTTTTTGAAAACGATCGTTTTTATTAAAACTATTTGCGACCGTTTTTTATACGATTGTTTTTAAAAAAAAATATTGACAATTATATGTTAACGATCGTTATTGAAGGGTCGTCGTTAACGGAAGGTCGTCGTTAACGATCTTTAATGAAGGGTTGTCGTTAACGATCGTTAACGAAACGACGAACTTTATCAAAGCGGTCGTTTTTGGAAAAAAACACATGTAACTTTATTGAATGTCGTCTTACATGAAGTTTAACAGTTTTGGGGGAGTTAAAACTCCTTGATATTTTCTTGAAAACTACTCAATGATAAGTATACAGATGCCCTTCAGGTCGGTTTCCTCTCTTCGATAACGATCGTTAACAAAGGTTGTCGTTAACGATCGTTAAGTAAGGTCCGTCGTTAACGATCGTTAACGAAGGGTCGTCGTTAACGATCGTTAACGAAACGACGAATTTTATAAAAAAAATCGTTTTGAAAAACGATCGTTTTTAAAAACGAGCGTTTTGAAAAACGATCGTTTTAAAAACGACCATTTTTGAAAAACGAACTTTTTTAAAAAACGATCGTTTTTAAAAAACGATCGTTTTCGATTTTTCGTCGTCGTTTTCATAACAAAACGATCGTTTTTCTGAAAAATGAAAACGTTAACATCCCTAGACACATCTATACAGTCTTTTACCCTTTTCATAAAATAAACTCTAGCAGACATAATGATATTATGGCTTTTGAAATTATGTATTTCAATATTAATTCATACCGAAGACGATATCGAATTCGTCACTATAAAATTCCCATGATCTTTGGGACACCCTGTATTATCTTATCTTATCTTATATGTGTTTTAAACTTGTGGCTTAATATATGATTCCATTTTTTTTTGATTTGATCGTGAATCCTATGATAGAATTCAGTATTGATTATAACTTTAAAAAAACAATTAAATTTTTTTGATTGCTCCGTTGCAAGGTCGTCTTTAACCAAGATTTCTCCGGCAGCCAACCCAAACATTTTACCTCTCATGAAAAGTGTAAACAACTTAACGAGCAGTGCTCTCGTTTCAAATTTAGTTTAAAAACCCCTTAAAACTCGTGATTTACATATCTTTGCAACCAATTGTCATTTTATTGCAGAAGATAAAACGCTGTTTTAGCACTGTTCAATAACCGGACTATCCCATATCTAGAATTAGTAAGCTCATTTTCATTATAATAAAACATTATATTCGTACCCTGTAAACCATTGTTAATTTAATAAATTGATTCATATTATTATCGTCTAATGGACCAAACCGAGGATAAGAAGGATATTCTGTGAATAGTTTACAGTTCGAGAACTCTAGTTGACCGGGACCATTGGTTTTGGGAAATATATACCCTCTTGTTTTTGCCTGGAAAATTGACTGCAGTAGTTCTCACCGCACATTTCGAGATCCCTCCCCTTTTCAACTCCCCAAGTATATACTGTATTGTGTATAACAGTATAAGTATACTCTGGACTAAATATTTAAAACTCAGTTAGCTCAAAGCTGAATTATACAGGATCAGCCAATAAGAAAGTGAATTTTTGGCTTTAGATATCTTACATTACTTTCTATTAAACCAAAATTGTTTTATATTTTATTTCTTCTCATCTTGGCAAATATTGCTATATGGTTAATGTTGCCTAATGATAAATTTTGCAGTTTAATACCTTGGTATAACTCTGTTCCACTTAGAGGAATTAGGGTACTCTATAGGTATTCCCAAAGTTTTATTTTGACTGCTTCCAGTCAGCTGTACATATTAGTTTTGGTTTACTTAAAAATGTTTATATCGATCATAATGTACACGCAATTAACAACATATCTTTGTAGAGTCTTCTAATGATGATTTCTTCTAATAAATTTCAAAACTAAATCCTGGTCTTTGAGGTTTTCTTTATTTTAATTGTAAAGACAACATTTTTAAGAAATTAATTTAATTACAGAAACAGCAAAGGTATAATTGATTCTACGGTTCTACTATGGCTTTTCATCGATAATTGTTTTAGAGAAATATGTTCCTTAACAGCAAATTAGTCCATGAAATAATTGTTTTTTTTATATGTTTTGTAATTGTATGCATATTTAATAATTGTATAAAACGTTTCTTCTGCTGACTGAAACAACTGGTGAAATATTACAAACGCTCTTATTTAAAAATTATACACCATAAAGATGTTTCATTGGTATCAAACGGTATCCTAAAGTTTTTCTCTACAATACTGGACTTTCAGCTAAACTACCATGTCTAGCCGGTCTCTCCCCTTAATCATTGATAAAAAGCATTGGTCTCAATATTTACAATACAATAGTTCCCAATTCTGATCATTTTTAAATAAACCTAAAAAAAGAATAACAATATATTTTCAAGTATAATCCCTGCATTTTAATGTTGGATGTATTTATTTTAATCAAAAAAAGAAACTGAATATACTCCAAAAAATATAGGGATTTTAAAATTAGAGTTTGACGCATGTGCTATATTAACCACAAACAAAAGTTTGATGTAGATATCCAAATATTTATGGCTAAACCTGGTATTCCAATTGGACAAAAAAAAAATATTTTAAAAGAAGAAACACAGATTAAAAGTGTTAGTTAAATTCATAAACGGTAATATTTTTACAAAATAAAAATTAAATATTGAAATATATAATTATAAAGAAAGCTGTTCCATAATTATAAAGAAAGCTGTTCCATAAGAACCAATCAGTTGAGCAAAAGAAGTCTTCAGGTATATGAACATTTATAAATTGACACTTATTTATAATTATAATTTCCTGAAGCAATTGCCTCTTTTTTTAAATTCCCAATGCAGCGAGAATTAACCGTAAGATAATTTAAGAATTTTGAATTTTTTCTATTATTGCAATTGATATACATATTTCTAAAATTGCAAATTGTTTATGCAAATTAATTGCAAACGGCAAGATTTATGATTAAAATAAAAAAGAAGATGAGAATTACATTGGTATCTTAAAGGCCGGTTATTTTTTAGTTTTTTTTGTTAAAAATGAATGCCCTTTCTGGCATTATCAACCTACACCTCAAAATGAATAGTTTAAAAATTTAAATATATTTAATAAAATAAAGCCTTGCTTTAAATGCCATTACAATTAATTGCGCTAAAAACGTTTTACTACGTGCAATTCTCTGCAGCTGAGCATAATACGTTTGTAATTGTAAATGTCAAATTATCATTCTTTTAAAAATGTTTGATTTTTTACTTTTTCCTGAGTCTAGTTTTGCCAGAAATTTGGGCATTTTTGTTCCGTAAAAACTTTGCTTTTTTAGCGAAACAGATTAATGCGATATTTCGTAAATAAATTGCAAAATTTTTAAAGAAACACAAAGTTTTGCGAAAAAGCGAATTAGCTGCTTTAGGTATTCATCATTCAAAAAAAGTTGATTTAACGATCCTTTCAAAAATTTTAAATTAAAATTTGCTTGATATTTTCCACCCAGATTCTAAAATGCAGTGAACATTTGTAAGTTTAATCACACAAATCAAACAATCGAAGTTTTTTTTTGATAGCCATCAATCAAAACTTTTGACACTATATACATGACATAAAACTTTTGCATAAGTTAAATTACTTATTTGAAGTTGATTGTTTTGTTAAGTTTATTAAGGGACTAGAGGCTTTATTTAAGCTCATCCTTACACTGTGATTTAAAGGTTTCTCTCAAGCAAAAATCGAGAATATTTTTGCAAATTATTTAATTAATTAAAGCGGTAAAATCAAAATCTAAGGCTTGCGACACTTCAAAGTCAACCCTGTCTTAAAAATTGATGAGACTTTTTATATACGGATGCTGAATCTATGTGCTTAATAGATGTTTTTTTAATCATAGTTTCTATGTACTGCAGAAAAAAGTAAGGACATTTTCTGAATTTTAAAACATCTAGCTCATGTTGCACTTCAATGATATTTCACATTATAAATACGCAATACATATCTGATAAATACATATTATCTACAGTTAATAACCAGAAAACTCTGGGATAGGAAGACGACTTTTAGAATAAAGTTATAAAGGAAAATGTGGGTCAGCCTCAAGATGACTGCTCTAAATTTTGTAGTGGTCTTCTCACTGCTAGCTTTTGCTATTGGTGGAAGGTAAGATTAAATAATACTCTTAACATCTCGGTTAAGCAATTTTTGTCTAAATATATATAAAGTATGAGTAATCTCTGTTTGTTTGTATATCCTATCATAACTAAAGAACCTTGCCTCAAGTTTTGATTTGGGAACTTGTGAGCACCTCGGGAATGTTCTTGTAGTTTGGATTTGAGATTCTGAATTAAGTATAGATGGACTTTTGTAGAAAAAATTGGCAAAAATCGTTATTTAAGACCAAGCACGGCTGGGTAAACGGCGGGAGTGACCATGAAAAACCTGGGCAACGCAAGTATATTGCATATAACATAAGGTGTGGGTAGAAAGGGAGGTTTAAAATATGGGAGTGTTCAATTTTGTACATTTTCTCTTTTTACATAGTAAAACTCGAACAAAAATTGTTTTGCGGATTTTATCAAAATATTTCTTGGATTTTCAAAATTTTCCAAAATCGAATTTTGTTAGAGCCAATTTTTTTCAAATTCTATCATCTTTGTACTAGGGTTTCCAGCGAACGAAACGTTTAGCGAAAAAAGGCGAAAATTTTCGGTCGCATTTTGCAAACTTTTTCGCGAAATTTAGCATTTTTTCGTGAAAATAAATGAAGCGAAATTTCGCGAAAATGCAAAAATATTTTTCCGCAATGCAAAAATTTTGTGAAAACCATGAGTTTTATAGCTGTAACAATTATTTGCTCAGAAGAACTTGTGGAATTCTCTGCTCTGATAGCTCAATATTTGAAGTTTTATTATGATATCAATTATTAATATAATTATATTAATAATTTCTCTTTCATTACTTTAATAAATTTTTGATGACGAGAATTTGATTTCATTAGCTATCTTTTTAAGTTTCTGTCTGTCTGTCCACAATAAATACGTTCAATTTTCGCATTATTTTTCGCGAAATTTCCTTTTATTTTTTTGACGAAATTTTCCAATTTCTTTTTAGCAAAATTTGTGCCGTATTATTTTTGCATTATATTTTTGCGAAATTTTCGCATCATTTTTATAGCGAATTTTTCAAATTATTTACGCAAAATTTTTGCACTTTCTTTTTCGCGAAAATTTTGCATTTTTTTATGAAACAGATTGAAGCGTAATTTCGCGAAAAAAGCAAAAATGTTTGTGTTTTTCACGAGCGAAGGAAATGCGAAAATGAAGCAAAATGGTAGCGAAAAAAATAATATCTCGAAAAATGCGAAATTTTCGCGAAACTATTTTTCTTTTCGCTAAACCCTACTTTGAACCTTCACTAGGGTCACGGAGGTCCCTCAAACCACGTGAGCCCGATCGGTTCAGCCGTTCTCAGTTTATTGGATACAAACAGACAAAACAAACCAGCAAAGTTTATATAGATGTCATTGTCACAGTTTACAAGTCCAATTTTTCAATGCCAGTTCATTAACGGTAGGTCTGTTATTAATTGCTAAAGGAATTGAGTCTTTAGCACAAAATCAAATATTTAAACCTCAATATCTTTAGAACTCGATGTTGTAAACCTTTGATATTTCAAACTCAAATTGTTTTATGTTACAGAATTCATAGTTTGAAATATCTAAGGTATGCAACATTTGGTTGCAAAGTTATAGTGATTAAAAAATCAGAGTTTGTGGCTAAGACTCAATTCCTTTTTTCTCAGTTGGAAGTTGGAAAAAAAGCCTAAAATCTGAATTTTCTAATATTTTAGAATGTACAAAAAGAACGGACATATTTATAAAGCAACATGGAATCAAGAAGTTCTGAAACAGGAAAAAAACAATTTTAAATCATTTATCATTATTACGATATGAAAATAGAGAAATAGATCGCAAATCTTACTTCAAGAAACAAAAATTATCTTATGAAATTAACTGCTGTATTATATTTTCACATTTTTTTGTTCTATAAGAGAATAACGCTGATTTAATTTACTGAATTTTAAACAAAGAATTTCCCCCATTTCTAGTTAAATCTATATTGTAAGAACAAAATGTATTAATGTTTTGATTTCTCAATGCCGTAATGTTTTTTTTATTATAAAAGAACATTATATTTTTATTTTCTATTTTGTTTATATTTTACCTGATCAAAAATCTTGTTTTGTGACGTAAGTGCGTAAATACTTGACATTGATATGAATTCAAGTAATTATCTCAAAGTCAAAACCAGGATATGATGGATAATGGATATGTTCCAAAAACGCCATATGAGCTGAACTACGTTAATTGTCTCAAAATAGGGATATGTTCGAAAATGAAAACAAAAATCATCAAAAACTAATTCTCAAACCTTTTTGTAAGTTAAAAGTTGACATTTCTTGTTTGAATGAAAAGTTTTAGCCTTTTCTAATAATGTATTGTCTAGTTTTGTTCAACTCTGCTTGGATTTAAAGATATATATGCTTGAAAAAGATCTTAAAAGATCAATTTAATTCCTATCAAATCATTCAGACATTACAACCTATAATTATTGATTTTTTTCATATATAGTATAGTCGATATTTCATAATATTTGTGATTTATTTAAAAGCCAATATTTCACTTACAGCTTGTCTTCATTATCAAAAATACTTAAAACAGGGATCGAAAAAAAAACGATGATTATAGGTTGTAATATCTGAATAATTTGTTTGAAATTAAATTGATCCAAATCAAAAATTGCAACTTTCTGAATTCATATGGGTTCTTCGTTATGAGTTCTTTTTAACAATTTTCTCCTTATATACACAACAGATAGAAGTAAAATTAGTTGTAATCACCATCGAATATTTTTCGATGTGAGCCTATACCCCCTTTTATTTTTGCGAACACTCCCTTTAAGAAAATTTTTACAATAATTCATTAAATTGTGGTAAAAAAGATTCCAGATGCTAGTCCTATCTGCTGTGCAGGCCTCTGCAATATGGAAAAGGAATTCTGCAACTCTTTTCATTACAACAAAACTTCAAAACTCTGCTCCTTGGCAAATGTAAAAATTGAATAAATTTATTTTTTTAACATAACTTAAACTTCTGCTCCTTGGAATTTTTTTTAGCAAGACTCTGCTCAATTGGCAAATGTAAGAATTATATTTTTTTCAATAAAACGTTAAACCTCTGATTTTAGGCATATGTAAGAATTAAATTAAAATCTTTTTTTTTAACAAAACTTAAAACCTCAGCTCCTTGGCATTTTTTTAGCAAAATTTTGCTCAATTGGTAAATGTAAGAATAATATTTTTTTTTCAATAAAACGTTAAACCTCTGATTTTTGGCATATGCAAGAATTATCTTTTTATTTTTTTTAACAAAACCATAAACCTCTGCTCCTTGACAAATGTAAGAATTAAATTAAAATTTTTTTTTAACAAAACTTAAAACCTTAGCTCCTTGGCATTTTTTTTAGCAAAATTCTGCTCAATTGGCAAATGTAAGAATTATATTTTTTTCAATAAAACGTTAAACCTCTAATTTTTGGCATATGTAAGAATTATTTATAAATTTTTTTTAACAAAATGTAAGAACTAAATTAAAAATTTTTTTAACAAAACTTAAAACTTCAGCTCGACTTGGCATTTTATTTAGCAAAATTCTGCTCAATTGGCAAATGTAAGAACTACAGTTTTTTTAACAAAACGTTAAATCTCTGCTTTTTGGAAAATGTAAGAATTATTTTTTAAATATTTTTTTAACAAAACCATAAACCTGTGCTCCTTGGCAAATGTAAGAATTAAATTAAATTTTTTTTTCAAAACAAACTTCAAACCTTTGCTCCTTGGCATTTTATCAGAAAAAATCTGCTCAATTGCCAAATGTAAGAATTAAAATGTCTTTCTTTTCAAATTGAAAAAAGGGTGGACACAATTTTGGTAGATTTAGAAAAAGTTTCAGATATTTAATTACGTGTTTTAAAATAAGATTCTAGTTTCATTAGACTCTAGTATAATGAAAAACAATAGGACAATTTGAAATAAGAATTTTTAACCACACTTTTTTTCCGAATGTTCAGTTGACCAAATTGGAAGATGTCCTCTTTGCTGAAGATGGAATAGATGTCTTCATTGATCTGGAATTCTTGAAACATCTGGTGGGTTATTCAGCCAATATCTATACTACACCCTTCATCCCTTCATTCTTCAACCAACCCTTCATGTGATATTCCTTCATCCTTTATCCCTTCTTCCTTCATCCCTTCTTCCTTCATCCCTTCTTCCTTCATCCCTTTATCTATTATTGCTTTTTCCTTCATTCCTACATTTTTTACATTTGGAACGAGGTATAGGCAAGGTTGACAAATCTATATGGCATACATAACAGTTTGTTGGTCCCCTTGGGATTAACTCCCTATAAGGCATTTGCACTGTGATTTTGTCAGGCTACATTTGTTGCATAAAACATGCTGGGTCCCTAATTTTTGATCAGGTTTATCTTTGCGAATTTCCTTTATAAGGATTGAAGTGAAGAAAAATCAGCCAATGAAATTTGCAATTTTTTTTATAAATCTTGATAAATTTATCTGGTGGGATGAAGTGATTGACCCTAGGGCACTTTCCTTAATAAAATCAGCTTATCAGTTCAACATTTTTCTTTAATTAATCCTGCTGATTTTCATAGAATTTACAACTCGTATTTTACAGTTTTGGTTGAATTAACTTGCTTCCTTTACATGTGCATGGGATTTGAAATAATTGAATTTATGTAATTATTGCATTATTTACAATGTAATTTTTATACAAAAATTACATTATAGATGAACTTATGTAAATTTCATGTTATTACGTAAAATTACGTTATTATTACACAATTTCTCAACCATTAGTAAAATATGTAATTTGGAAAACAGGGCTAGATCATCCTTGCATAAGGTGCTTATTATTATTATATTCATTCCTTGTATTTTAAGGTGTCTGAATGCCCTGCAAATAAGCCATATTCATTTGACAATCGGAGCAAATGTTGTGAGGTATTTAAAGCTAAATTAATATCTCAAGGACCCGGAACCAAATTTAATGAAATCACAACGTTGCTGAACTGCTTCTGGCCAATCAAATTGAATTGATTCAAATTTGATTCATCAATTCAAGTCCTTCCTGAGACCAAATGTAAATAATTGGAACAACGTCTAGATGCGGCTCAAATATGGGACATATGATTATGAGTATGGTTCCACTTGAAATTATAATCTGTGAAGATGTAGTTGAACCTCTTCTCATCAACCTGAATTGAGGCGCAAAATAGATGGGGTTTAGCTATATCCATGCAGTTCAACAACTTTTTGTTATTCATTAAATCTGGTCCCCAGACAAATGTTGTATTTAAATGAATCTATTCATAAATTTATCTTTCCAATAGTTTGACTTTTTTCATTAAATCTTTAATTAAAATGCATAAACAAATACCATTCAAGTTATTAAGGTTGCATTATGTGTGAAATCTGTTTAAGGATAACCTGGAGGAAAACTATACAACTAAGTTTCCTGGATTACTGACTCAAAAAAGCAAATCTTGCAGGTTAATAGAGTTGGGAATACTGTTGGTCAAGAAAAGTTGGAAACTCTGACATTATCTTTCCTTGATTCTGATACGTATAAATCTGCAAGCAACATTTAAAATAAAAATGAGAGTGTTAGATAAAAAAGGATTAATATCTCTATAATTTGAACTCAGACTAAGGATTAAACTTGAAAGACGCTTAAAATTATGTGGATAGACCAATAAACCTATTTAAATAAAAACAAAATGAAACCCATTAAATATCAAGAAAAAGTTGAGATTTTTGTTAAAATTTTACATATGTTTATTGTTCTATTCTCTTATAAATATTTTTGTTTTAGTGGAAAAAGTGTGGTATGTAAATCAGGAATATGCAAAAGAAGCAAAATTGTTGAATCAGTCAGCCCCTTTCAGGTTTTGGACATAGATTTGCAATTGGGCAATATAACTGTTGTTGGCGTTACTTCCAAATCTACAGCTGCTGAATGCGGCATAGAATGTGACAACAATGAAGATTGTCAGGTAAAGCCATTAATGAGGAACAAACATAGGGGAAATAGGGAATTTCCCATAAACAACATCCTGTTTATAAAAAAAAGAAACTGCAGTCCGCAATCAGAACAATCATTATTGTTCAACAAAATGGAATTTTGAATGGAAAAAACTCAATCTATTTAATTTTAATTATCCCCACAAGATCATGTTTCAAAATTTCAATGTTGCACATTTTGTCTTAACTCATTGTAAAACACTTTTACTCAACCCTCATATTAACAAATACCCATTTTCAACATTAAACATTATTTACCTATACTTTTGTTAGCCATCAACTACTTTTTTCAACCAGAACATTAAAATACTGTAAAAACCTTTAACAATCACTTATTCTAAAACTGAACAAAAAGTTCGGGAATGGTTTTGAAAATAAAAAAGTGATCAGTTAGAAGACATGAAAATAATGAAATGAAACAAATTTATTGGTGGTTCAATCAGATATTTATTATTATATTTAAAAGATCAAAGGTGGTTAAGAGTTAAATAATTATTAAATTAATGGCATTTATATTTTCATCTGATGCTTTTGTTAATCTGGTGGAAATTTTAACATGAATTAAAACATTTAGGAGTAACATTAATTCACTATTAGTTTGTATTATCAACTCATCGAAGAACCATTTTAAGGAGAATTATCAGTTTGTTTTTATTTTTTAAATGTTATTTTTAGGGCTGGACTTACAATGCACAAAATTGGGCTTGTTACATCAAACAGTTCAATGGTGTTGAAACATATTTTTCTCCTTTTGACACGTAAGCTCAAAATATACAAAAATTAAATTAAAAACAGAGAACTTCTTCAAATTTGTCTCAATGTTTGCTCCTCTCTCAAGGTATTTTACAAGAACAATTTACTAAGGAACTATTTTAAAATCCCAAAAGTATAATTTTTGAATCTATCTATAAAAGTCCAGAAAAAAAGTTTCCAGAAAAAAACCTTGAATCAAAAACTTTGGAAAAAAGTCACTGGAAATGAAGTCCTGTGTTTTGGATTCCTGATACTTTTTTCCCTAAAAAGTATTGGAGGTTGCCAATTCAGTCTTAGGAAATTAAGTCCTGAAGAAAATATATGAGAAGAAAGAAAAAACCCCAAGAAATAAAGTCCTAAATTTTGTAAAATTGAGGTCAAGTCTAAAACGTTTTCATAAAAAACACTTTTTTTAAGCATCTGTACTTTGAATATAGCCATGGATGTTTTTAATATCAATTACCCTTTTTTTTGCATGGTTGTAAACATCCTTAGTTCCAATGCATTTTCTACTATAATAGGACTTATAATCGATTGGGCGGATTTTTGGTAATGTCAATTTGGTAATGACAATTTGGTAATGACAATTTGGTAATGACAATTTGGTAAGGTGACAATTTGGTAACGACAATTTGGTAATGACAATTTGGTTAGCTCACAAAGGTGACAATTTGGTAATGACAAATTGGTAACAACAAAAAAGTGACAATTTTGTAATAAAAATTTGGTAACGTCAAAAAAGTGACAATTTGGTAAACGAAATAAAAGTAACATTATGTAAAATTATGTATTTCAATGTTAGGAAGTTATTAATGTTACTTTTTATATGTAGTGCTTGCCCCCTAGCCCATCCTAGCCACAGCGCTCGGCCCAGAAATTGTCTTAACCTAACCTAACCCAAAATAATGTAAGAAACAGCACATTATTTAACATTTAATAGCCCGCAGTGCTCGGCCCCCTAACCCACCCTAGCCGCAGCTCTCGGCCCATTAATTGTTTTAACCTAACCTAACCCAAAATATTGAGAGAGACAGCACATTATTTAACATTAAATAGGCCGCAGCACTCGGCCCCCTAGCCCATCCTAGCCGCAGCTCTCAGCCCAGAAATTGTCTTAACCTAACCTAACCCAAAATAAAGAGAGAAACAGCACATTATTGAACTTTTAATAGGCCGCAGTGCTCGGCCCCCTAGCCCATCCTAGCCACAGCGCTCAGCCCAGAAATTGTCTGAACCTAACCTTACCCTAAATAATGTGAGAAACAGCAAATTATTAAACATTAAATTTAATTAAATTTAACTTTTATCAACAAATTTTCACTTTTTTGTAGTTACCAAAATGTTATTACCAAATTGTCACTTTTTTGTAGTTACCAAATTGTCATTACCAAATTGTCACTTTTAAGACGTAACCAAATTGTCACTTTTTTGTAGTTACCAATTTGCCATTACCAAATTGTCACCTTACCAAATTGTCATTACCAAATTGTCATTACCAAATTGTCATTACCAAAAATCCGCCCGTCTTTTTTTCCAGGGATGTTTTTGTTTAAAATCATACTGGAGCCAGAAAAAAAAGTCTTAGAAAATAAAGTCTTGAATTAGTAGGACTTTTTTCCAGAGACTTTTTAATAAAAGGAATAAATCCTCATATTTTTAATGAAGACCCCAGGCCTTTCATCTGAGACCCCAGATTTCACAGAGAATCCACAAGATAATCATTTGAGACCCAAAACTTTTTGTTTTAACCCCAAGTTTTCACAGATTTACACTAGAGCCCCTCAGATCTCCAATAAAATTTGGGGTTCTTATAATTTAATTTGTTAACAAATTGTTAACAAATAAATTTTGTTTTAAAGTCAAATCCAAATTACGAAAAAATTTAAAAGTGTTCCTAACTGTTCAGTGTACATATTTGGGCCAGTTGACAGGTAATGGACAAAATTATATTACCCCTCCTAATTTACTGATTTTATTTCAGACCAGGTGTAGCAATATCTGGTTATAAACCATCATTTACTGGACTCACTCTAGATGATTTTTGAATAATCAGTTAAAAATTTTAAAACATATTTGTATGTTTTGAACAAAGTACACACATTTTAAATCGTTTGTTCAAAAAAATATGATGGTTTTTTTGCTAAACAAATGATGAAAGTTTATTTAATGAAAGAACAATTTATTAAACAAACAATTTCACAAGACATTTGCCTAGTGAAACAATTAATGAAATATAGATTGTGAATGAACAATATTTTTAAGAAGCCAATCTTTACTTGCCCTGGGTTTAATTTTGCCTTTCTTAATTATTAGAGAAGTCCCATCATGCTTTTTATTTTTATTAAATGCACCCCTTTTTATAGAATGTCAACCCTCCCCAGCTTTAAGAAATTATTTCTTTTCTAAAATCAGAATATGCAAACTATCCACCTCCATGAATATGCAAACTATCCACCTCCATGGCCCAAATAAACCATTTAAATCATTTTGCCAATATGATTAATAAACTCAGATTAGTTAACCCTTTTGCAACAAAAAAGAAATGCGATGTGGTGTTGTTAAAACCAAGAACTCCATTATTGGCTATTTATCTTTGTATGGGAACACCAATGTTGGACATTTTTAGCAGTTGTAGGCAAAACAAATATTTATTTAATATAGCAGAATAAAAATCACTGAAGCTGAATTTTCCATTGCATTACGTTTTTTTGTTTATAATGATAAATAATTCAGAATATTTCTAGTTCCTTGGATAAAGAAAAAAATAACAAAATAATTAAAAATTTTGATATAATTTATTCAATAATATTGATGTGATCGCCCGATTACGTGATTTTGAATAACATATACAATCCTGAATTTTACAGTCTAGCTTTTCAAGATTCTATGGTCCTCCAATTACTTCCAATTTATTTGTAATTTGTCTGTAATTGACAAGGCTTTACATACCATGTCACTTAACCTGCAGATATTTTTATTTTTAACAATTTATCCCTACATGATTTGGCAATTTTTTTCTGCTAGTTTATTTTCAAATTTATATGGTTATTTCATAAAATTTTTTTGTTTTTTAAATATGTGTATACACAAGTTTTACATAGCTTTGTGGTAAGCAATGTCTACAATTTTTTCTTAAAGTTTTTCAGGATTTTTCCAAAATAATACAATAAAATAAAGGCGTCTCCTGTTAAATTGGAAGATTATGTAATTTTACTGTTATGATATGTAGAAATCATTAAAAAATAAATGTGTTTAAAAACTAGATGATCTTTTTTTAATATTCTTATCATCTAGGTGCGATAAATAAAGAAAATTAATTTTAACACTATAAGATCTCAAAATGGAGTTTCTTATTAACTTTAAATTTTTCCCCAACTATATTTTGCGTGAATGAGAAATTCTTTTAAATAGTGTACAGAGGGTGGATGAATATTCGCCATAGTTTTGATGAATTTTCTAATGCAAATTGTTTATTGGTGTATATTCAACATTTTTAAAATCTATGCGTTATTGAAGCAATTCTTTTAAAACAACCATTCAAATTTTTGAAATGTTAACATGTCATATGTGTATTGTGATTTTTCAACAGATCTCATTAAAATGTACTGCTTTATGCTTCTGCAATATAAATCATAAATAGAAGAACTTGATTTATTTATTTTTGATATTTTCAGAGCACCTGAAACAGTGAAAAAGTAAAACAGTAACAAGTTCTAATTTCATTCTATTGTTTCCTTAAAACTTTTTATATAAAGTATTTAGATTTTTTAAAGATCTAAATATTTTTATTAACACAAAACATAAAGTTATAAAAAGTATGAGTTTGAATACGAAGATTACATAGTGTTATTTTTGAATGAAATATAATTACAAGGATATTTTTCAGGGGGTATTGACAAAACCTGTTTCTGTTTCAGGTTCATCCGGCTGCTGATCAGCTGAATTTCCATACCCTGCATGTTCAGGGATTGATACATTCTCCGTTTCAGCTGGTTTTCCTACAGCCACAGCTTTTTTCAACAGCCAGGCCTCTTTTCTTTCCCTGTCCTTCCTAATTTTGGAAGGCTTCTTTTGTTTTCCTTCCCGTGGAACCTGAGGTCTAGGTACGGAGGAGAAGGTGGAACCCTGGGGTCTGGTGACTGATGAGAAGGTTATTGTTTCCTTCCCATTCTCAGTCTCCAGAGTCATCCTAGCCCAGATCCCTGCTGATCTACACTGATTGTATAATCTTAGGATGGCAGGGAAAGTATTCACCCCTGCCATCTTGTTTTAGCTCTAGTGTACTGCAGCAATCACATACTGTTGTGTTCGGTACCAAGGTCAGCTGAATACTGAAAGGTCAGCTGAATACTGATTTAGATTTTTTAATTGCACAACCAATTATGGTGAAATGTTCCATTGAAATATTCAAATTTAATAATCAAATATTTTCAATATTTAAACATAATAATTCAAATATTGATTAGTTCAGTACTTATATCATTTAATGCAGGAACTTTAAATTATTGTAAAGTTAATAGTATACCCTAGTTTGATTCAAACTTAATAATAAATTAAAAAGTTTAGATTTTAATTATAAAAATCATTTTTAGTGACCTTCCATTTTTAGAGTAGTATTTTCTACTTTACTCTTAATCTGATCAAAGGATGAGAAATGTATCTCTATTATTCCAGCTAGGAATTAAGCATGTGTAAGAGAGTGTAGGAATTAAGTGTCTGAATATATTTTTCGCAAGAAACAAGTGAGAGTTGAAAGTGTCAATAATTTAAGTAAAAGCTTTATTTTTTTCTAGAAATCAAAAATCATTGGCATTTTTGAATTCTTAAACACTGTGTTTGATTTGATATAATAAAAGTTGTATTAAGCAGGCCAAAGCATTTGAGGTTGTTATCGAAAGAAGCCTATACCCCCTTTCATTTTTCGCGTGTTATTTATCTGTGTTTTAGGGATTTAACACAGATATCTCTGTAGTCAATGATCAGACAATTCGCCAATTTTATTTTGGAAGACAAATTTAATCTACAAAAAAAAGTCTTATTGTTTCTGTTGAAACTTGTACCCTACTCTCTAAATCCTTACATGACCCAACTTGGTACAGTTGTATAACCAGCAAGTTCATGTGTAACATGCCACCGTAACATTTAATAGTTCTCTTTATCCCAGCAAGCCATGAACTAATATACAGAAGTGATTATTGGTCGGGACTTGTTTTTGAATTAGAAAGTACAAAACAACACTTTTGTAAGTTTAAAGATTGCTAAATTGTTAATTTTTAACTACAAACTAAACTTTCAATTCAATTAACAGATTTTCCATTCGTTAATATTCCAGTTTTTTTTAATGCCAATAATGGTTAATAAATCAAACATTAACAATTGGTCAGTTGGTTAATGAGAGTTAAGTACTTGTTTACTTGCATTTGTCATTTATTTTAATTTTCAGTTGAATTTTTCCTGAAACGTTCATTTAGCCAGATCTATGAGATTAAGCATATTCACCCTTTTTTGTTGAAGAAAGTGGTAAATGAAAAACCTTTTATTTTTTTATTGAACATTTTAATGTGGATGCAATTTTAAGGAAGAAAAGCAGCATTGTGTTCTCCTTTTCCTTCTCTTGTTTTTTTTCCATCTTCATTTCCTTCATCAGCTACTATTACCTCTGCAAACAAAGCAGAGTAAGCACTTTAGCATTATGGAAATCAAGATCTATGCTTGATCTCCTTTTCATTAACCTGCAAATTAATTTTATCTTACATTATTTCCCAGGAAAGTATCTAAAATACAACCAATCAGATTGTCAATTACAAAGCCAAACAGCCAATCAGAAGCCAAGAAATTAAGCAATTCTGTGTGCGCAATCAATTAGAGAACTCCATTTGGTTGCAACCAAGCAGAGATATGCAAAAATGAAACAGTGGATAAAGAGATTTAGCATTTGGAATTAAAGGAATCCAATTCTTAAGTTTTCAGAGCTAGAGTTGAAAACTTTAAATTAGGATACCTTCAATCCCCATCTTATTGAACTTCCAATGTGGACACTTTTAATTTCCATCTTAGTCAGCTCTTTTTATTTCTTTATTCTATCGCTGCCAGTTTCTGACTAATGAGAGTTCACTCATTAAATGACGCACAAAATTTGAAATTTTCAGATTAAAATAGTCTTGAAATGAACAAAAAAAGAAGATCAAGCATTGATCACAATATCCACAATTTTAAAGTTTTCAACTGTGCTCAGAAAGAGTTTTTGAAATAAAACTTTTTTATATCTAGTTGTCACAAAGCAGGAAACACATTGGCTAAACTAATGCAGTTTGTAGGATATCAAACAATGCCAGATGCCCAAGGTGAAAAGACGATTTAGTTCATACCCCATTTTTTTAAAATTGGCATCAGTCCTTTAATAAAGCTGTCTGATTAATTCTAGTTTATTGCATTATTATTACCTGGAATTATTGCGTTGATATAGAAACTTTTCTCTATGCAATTAATTATTCATTAGTTCAGATTATCCATTATATGCAGGGTGTCTCAATAAACATGAGAATTATTCAGATTATTCATTATATAAAAAGAAGCAACTTTTAATACTTTTTTTAGTTTTTTTGAATAAGTTTTGGATAACCCACTTGAAACAGTAATTATCAAAAAATCCCATGAGAAGCCGCAATGAATTCAACATACGCAAGTAATTAAATCATTTCAGATCCTTATTCATATTTTCAGTGTTTATATTTTAATTTTTTTCAAATATGAAAAATTTACATTTTTCCTTCATTCTAAAACTTTTAAAAATATTCAAACATTTTTATACAAATTTGAACAATTCTTTGCATTTTGTTAACTTCATTTTAAGTTATAAATAATTATATTATAAAGCAAAACAAAGGGTAATGATTTTCCTGAAGATTTGCTTACTCCACTTATTTTACGCATTCTTGCTGCAGCATCTACATTCTTTATGCTGCTGCTTCTAAATTATTTACAATGTCAAAATCAATTTCAATATCAAAGGAATACAACATCATGTTGCAAGGATTAGAACAAGAGGAAAGATAAATTTACTTGGAAGGGATTAGAGTATCTACTGTGGACTCTACCCTAGAGGAAAGATAAACTTACCTGGAAGGGATTAGAGTATCTACTGTGAACTCTACCCTAGAGGAAAGATAAATTTACATGGAAGGAATTGGAGTATCTACCCTGGACTCTACCCTAGAGGAAAGATAAATTTACCTGAGCCCGCGATTTAAAAACTTCGGCTCGAGCCGTAATTCCTTAAACGCGGCTTTAAGACCCAATCTTCGACCCAACTCTGACGACAGCTTGTGTCACGTGATTGACAGCTGCGAGATCTTAGGCTCGACTTAAGGAGTTAGGCCCAATGAAAATAAAACCGACCTTGGTTGGTTTTAGTGAAGAATAAGGCTCAATGTTGGGTCTTATTCTCATCAAAACCTGGAATGCACCAATTCCAACTATGAAAATCCGCCAACTACAACATTAAACCGGTTTAATGAACTAAACTCTGTTAAAAATTAGATGCAACTTAAATCCGAAAGCCCGAGCCGTAAATAAGGCTCAACGACAGCTTAGACCCGAGTCGTATTTTATTGAATTTTTTAAATCGCCGGCTCTGGAAGGAATTGGAGTATCTACTGTGGACTCTACCCTAGAGGAAAGATAAATTTACCTGGAAGGAATTAGAGTATCTTCTGTGGACTCTACCCTAGAGGAAAGATAAATTTACCTGGAAGGAATTGGAGTATCTACTGTGGACTCTACCCTAGAGTAAAGATAAATTTACTTGGAAGGAATTGGAGCATTTACTGTGGACTCTACCCTAGAAGAAGGATTAATTTACCTAGAAGGAATTGGAGTATCTACCCTGGACTCTACCCTAGAAGAAGGATTAATTTACCTAGAAGGAATTGGAGTATCAGCCCTGGACTCTACCCTAGAATCTGGTGGAGTAGCCTTCACTGAAATACAATTATTTGATAACAAAGTTTATCGGTTCAGAAAGGTGAATAATTACGAAAGGTCCTTAATTATACTTTTATTTCAGCAACCTGAGTGTTTGAAACAAAACTTCTGATTTTCACTACAAAAATTCCTGATTTAGTATTTCAATAATTTATCAATAAATTATTCTTTGGAAAAAAGATTTACCTTTTGGAAAACAAATTACCCTTTGGGAAATAAATTTCCCTTTTGGAAAATAAATTACCTCTCTTTATGAGAACTGTGGCAGACACAACAGAGTCCCTCCTTGATCCTTTAATAACATATTATCATTATGAAAACTAGTTAATAGTTATTTTGTGTTTTTTGAATGATATATATTTTTTAAAATCAGGATTTTTTATGACTTCACAAAAATTTCAGCATACTTTTTTATTTGGTTTTAAAATATTCATGATTTTTTATGAGGCTTCCCTTCAAACATTTATTCAAACCAATGGCGAACTTATAAAGTCGAGAATTATTTACCCTCCTACTTCACCATCGGCACATAAAGTTGGTAAAAATGTTTCCTGGGTTTACAAAAATCTGTTTATATTTGACCATTACATTTAATGAACTAAAAGTTTGCGAAAAATTGACAAAAGTTCAGGTATAATACATTTTTTTCTTTTCTTGTTATTTTTTTAAACTTGATTCATGCACTTTTAAAAGAAACCCTGTACAAAAAAGTCTGACTCCTTAACATACTTTTCATAACTGCAATGTTAGTTTGAAAGTAATTCTTTTGTAAGTTTGATATTACAATAAAAATGGTAGGGTTTCATTTACTTGTGGAAATAATAAATAAAAATGTTCCTAATGATGTGATTGATCCCCTTTTAGAGACCAAAGGTGTTCCAAGCCAGGGGTTTTCCACGTGTTCTGCGAGTTTGCCACTGAACATTCCAGCAGATGAAGCTTTCTCAAAATCAGCTGTTATCTACAAGATGGTTTTAAGGCTTAACACAATTCAATCTTATATCTGTTGCACTGTCAAATCTAAAAAGTTTGTTCATAATATTGAATTTACAGAAACCAATTTAATACAATTCAATTATAATCGAAATTACAAATAGAAAGTTAGGGATATAATAATTTGAGAGATATTCCATTCATAACATTCTGTTCAAAATTTGACACACCACATGTTTATAATTTCAAATTGTGTTTTTGTATTTTGTACAAACAAAAAGTTGTGAACAATAAGGAAATTCATCTGCAAGAGGCACATTGGTGTATCCCACATTTGAACTACTGTTTTTTGAGTTTGAACTATTGTTCACTCTAACTACTGATAAAAACGTAATTTCCTGTAGTTAAAACAACGCATTATTTACTATATGAACTTTTTAATATGCAGTTTAAAATTTTTATATTTCATTGAAAAATTTAGGTCAAACAATCATCACAAAATAGTTTAAATGATTTAAAAATATTTCACAATGGACATTAAAATAATTTAAATGACCAAAATAATATTTTAAATTAAATAGCTCAAATATGCAAAAAAAACATAGTTCAAATGAGCAAAAATGGTTCACATGATCAAAAAATTAGTTCAAATGTGCAAAAAAATTGTAAATAAAATAAAAATTAGTAAATATCAGGGTTAGGTTTGGTTAAGACACTTTCTGGGCTGAGTGCTGCTGCAAGGACATGCTGGTTGGGGCCTAACGCTGCGGCTAGGACAGGCTAGGGGCCCGAGCGCCATGGCTAAGCCAGCCTAGGGGGCTGGGCGCTGCGGCCAATGACCAACATTATCTATATGTTAAATATGAGATGCTCTCGAGTGTTGTCTCAAATATTTTTGGGCTCATTTGAACTATTTTTTTCATATGAAATATTTTTTGGCTCATTTGAACTATTTTTTTGCTCATTTGAACTATTTTTGGTTCATTTAATTCATTTTTTTGATCATTTAAACTATTTTTTGGCTCATTTGAACTATTCTTTGGCAAATATTGAACTATTTTTATTAATAGTACTTAATGAACAATTATAGTTCAAATGCGCAAATAAAAGTTTAAATGCTCTATAGAATGTTAATGCTTGAACTATTATTCGTTTGAACTACTACATGTGGTACCAAGTGCACAAAAAGTATAAAAAGTATAAAAAGTCAATAGTTCAAACGGCAGTAGTTCAAACTAAATAGCACCGTCCGGAATCGGCTTGAAAAATCTATTGGAAACTACGTAATTTTTTAAAACAGAAATATGATTAATCCCATTTTTCCGATGATGAGTAGAATTTGTGATGATTTGTATTTGAATAGGCCTGGTTGTTTTACTACTTTCTATAAGTTTTGCTATTACGCACACCACTATAGGAACACATTTGTCAATTACATTATATACTGGTAAAAACCGATTTTCACACCCCTAGCAAATATAAAAAATACTTGCCTGCTCTAACTGCTCATCAACATATGTTCTCTAAAATATATAAAAATTTAGTTTCGTTTTTTTCTTGTTATCAATTTTTTCCAAATAATTAAATGTGCATAGTAACTTAAATGTAAGGTGTTTTTAGACAACTTAAAATCATTAGAAAAAGGATCAGTACTTATTAACTACAGCAATTAATTATTTAATTTTACTTTACTGGGAAGGTAACAGAATTTTACTTTACCAAGGGTTGCTGCACAAGACCAATTTTGCCTATAAAACATCCAGGTCGATGTATTTTAGACAAATTTGGACGAGGTAACCCGTGGTTTTATAGAAATGATTGATGTAAGACAGAAGACTGTAAGATATAACAATGGAGGCCCAATTTAAAGAATTTGAGCCGCGGCTCAAATTTGAGACGCGGCTTAAATTTGAGACGTGGCTTAAATTTAAGACGTGGCTTAAATTTGAGACACGGCTCAAATATGGTTGGTCCACTTAAAATTGTATTCAATATTTCAAGATTTAAGCCGGCGCTCAATTGAAACCGGTCTTTGATGGATTTGAGACACGGCTCAAATTCATTAAATTCGGACTCGGGACAGTATGAAAAGATCATCTCCTTTAGGTGAGATTATAATATCTGACCAGTATTGCTGCTTCCTCCTCCTCCTGTACTCCTTGAGCCCGGTTCAGTTTCCTGTTTATCTTCGCATCTATCAGACGCAGGATTGCTAAAGTTAAATGTTGATAGATTTTTTAATAAATAAGTGAACATTCCCTTTGTAGGGTAGAAGGGAGAGATTAGTCATCGCTGTTCAGAGTTGAATTCACCCCCCCCTATAAAAATGGAGACATCTTTGTTTATTTTACCTCAATCGTTTGTTAAAAACATTTATTAAATTTATCATTTTTTTGACACGCACCCCCCTCCCCTCCTCCAGTTCCACGGTATCCTATACTTTATAATGGAAACATTTTTGTGCATTTTTCTTTGATGCAGGGTGTTCCACGAAACATGACAGTTAATAAATAGTTTAGAATGTCGTCTTTTATATACTGGATAAGATTTAAAGACTTTTCAGTTTAGTTCGTAGAAAAATCTTTTACTTTAATATATCTTAATCTGTGACTTTACTATAATAAAACTGTCATAAAATGTTTATTATTATTCTCTATTGTATCAAACAACTTAACACATTATGGAAGAAGACATTTTAAAATATTCACCAACTGTCATGTTTCGTGGGACACCCTGTACTTCATTTATGAATTGAAATTCTTCTTTGAGGAGATCTTCTTTCCCCCACAGTATTTATAATTAAAACGTTTTCTGTATTTTTCCTTATTTATTTAATTAATAGTTCTTTGTGAAATCACATATTATGTATAAAAATTCCCTTTTTTGTAGGTTTAAATTAAAGTTTTTATCCAAAACAAAAACAAATATTTTTTTAATTTGCAAAAGAATATTTATGAAAATCCACCAAATCAAAAAACCCGTTTTAAATGCTAATTCTACCTGATACAATGAGCCCTAAGATAATACAGCTTAAGCCGAACACTACAGTATAAACTGTATCCGAGGCTATGCATCGTCTTCCATTCAATCCATCAACTAGATAATGGATAATCCATTAAAGGAACTGTAGAGACGTAGATCTAAGTTAATCTCTTCTAACGAAATGGCATGTCCGATTCACAATGGTACCCCTAAAAGCCTGTCAAAAGGTGTATTAAATGGGAACTACGGGGTCTCAGAACCCCCCCCCTCATTTATCAGTGAAACCTATGGTTTCCAGGGGGTTTTGGGCCCAAGTGATTTATAGGAAAGAAAACAAATTTAAGCCCCCCCCCCTCTGGAGTCTGGACAAATTCATATTACTTTCTTGAGCTTGTCTGACCAAGAAACATTTTCTTACAGTGAAAACCAGAAAACAATGGAATAGAAAGACAAAATTTCAGCAATACTAAGCGTTTTGATTTTGTTACAAAGCAAATATCTTTACTTGTAACTTAGCAATTCACAATTTAAGTGAAAAGGGTATATTTACACTGTACAATTGCTATGTCTAAATTTCATTGAACTAGTTTAAGTCCTAACTTGAGTTTAAAAGTCGTCTTCCTATTTCAGAGTTTTCTTGTTATCACAGTATTTTATTTTAAGTTAAATGGAATATTTTCAATTTTAATTTCTCTTTGAATTACATGCGGAACAATGTAAACGGTTGTCAGAGTTTATTATATATATATTATTATCACCTATTCACAATAGATTGTGTCTACAGTCTCTTTAGACGAATAAAAATAAATAGATAGATGCACAAATTATATTAATCAAATAAAAATAATCTAAGCAAAGTTTTTGAAAATTGAAAATGAATTTAAAACTACAACCACAATAAAACAGGCTTAAGAAATTTTGATTTTAAATATGGTTGAAAAATGAAACTACTGAAATAAATCAGTATGTATTGTATACATTATATACAAAGATGCAGAAAAGCTAAATCTATTTAAATATTGTTGTTCGTTCAATCATTGTCCATGAACGTTCCATTTCGTTCGTTCGTTGTTCATGAATGTTCCATTTCGTTCGTTTATCGTTAATGAACTTTCCATTTTGTGAATTCATCGTTCATGAACGTTCCATTTCTTTCGTTCATCGTTCATGAACGTTCCATTTCGTTCGTTCATCGTTTATGAACGTTTCATTTTTTCGTTCATTGTTCATCATCTTTCCATTTTTTTGTTCATCGTTCATGAACGTTCCATTTTGTTTGTTTATTATTCATGAACGTTCCATTTTGTTCATTTATCGTTTATGAAGGTTCGTTCCATTTTTTTGTTCATCGTTCATGAACGTTCCATTTCGTTCGTTCATCGTTCATGAACGTTCCATTTTGTTCGCTTAACTTTCATGAACCTTCAATTTTGTTCGTTTAACTTTCATGAACCTTCAATTTTGTTTGTTCATCAATCATGAACCTTCCATTTTGTTCGTTTATCATTCATGAACGTTCCATTTTGTTCATTTATCGTTCATGAACGTTCCATTTTGTTCGTTCATAAGTCATGAACATTTCATTTCCTTCGTTCATCGTTTATGAACATTCCATTTCTATCATTCATCGTTCATGAACGTTTCATTTCGTTTGTTTATAATTCCTGAACGTTTTATTTTGTTCGTTCATCGTTCCTGAACGTTCCATTTCATTCTTGAAGGTTCCATTTTGTTCGTTCATTGTTCATGAACGTTTCATTTGATCGTGCATCGTTAATGAACGTTCCATTTTGTTTGTTCATCGTTCATGAACGTTCCATTTCATTAGTTCATCGTTCATGAACATTCCATTTCCTTCGTTCATCGTTTATGAACATTCCATTTCTATCGCTCATCGTTCATGAACGTTTCATTTCGTTCGTTTATAATTCATGAACGTTCCATTTTGTTCGTTCATCGTTCCTGAACGTTCCATTTCATTCTTGAAGGTTCCATTTTTTTCGTTCATTGTTCATGAACGTTTAATTTGTTCGTGCATCGTTCATGAACGTTCCATTTTGTTTGTTCATCGTTCATGAACGTTCTATTTTGTTTGTTCATCGTTCATGAACGTTCCTTTTTGTTCGTTCAAAAAGCACGATGCCCTTCTCTTGGCCAAAAAGCGCCAAAAATCCAAATTCTTATATTTAAATTTTTTAATAATCTGGGTATATACCTACACCTATCACCCCCAGACAGAGTTCAAAGTCCTGTTTATGAGTAGCACCTTCTCCTCCCATTTTTGTAGATCAGTCTAGAATTTTTCACCTTTTTTATGTTAATCTTTTTAATTTTTCATTATAATCTTTTCTTATTTCATTCTCAAAATATTTTTTTTCTGCTTATAGAGAAAGAGATGTATTCCTTCTAAAAATCAACGTTGTTGATCCAAATTTTTAGCTTTATAGTTCAACAAATGGGCCCTGATCTTATTTGTTTCACTCATAAGGGATTATTTATTTGGTCCGTTTTGCTGTCTGCAGTCAGTATGTACTGTACAAGTTTCTGTACCTGCTTAAAAGTGGGTCGGGTACTTCAAGTGAACCATGTTTTCAGACTAGAGTTTCCAATTTCTTACTGATTAATTTAGATCCGTAATCTTTATTTCAATAACTCCAGGAAAAGTGGCGTAAGGTGTTTACGGATCCAAATTTGAAACCCTAATCCTAATATTTGGCTAGGATAAGGATATCTAAAATTTGAAACCCTAATCCTGATATTTGGCTAGGATAAGGATATCTAAAATTTGAAACCTTAATCCTAATATTTGGCTAGGATAAGGATATCTAAAATTTGAAACCCTAATCCTGATATTTGGTAGGATAAGGATATCTAAAATTTGAAACCTTAATCCTGATATTTGGTTAGGATAAGGATATCTAAAATTTGAAACCTTGATCCTAATATTTGGCTAGGATAAGGATATCTAAAATTTGAAACCCTAATCCTGATATTTGGTTAGGATAAGGATATCTAAAATTTGAAACCTAAATTGTTCTAAAACAAAATTACAAAATCGTCACACATTATAATTATGTTGAATTAAATGATGAACAAACTCTTGAACGGACTGTCCCTTCATGTTAAGTGTACCTCAGCTGAAAGGGTTACATTTGCAATTCACAATGGAGATCGTCTTTCCTTTTTTAATTTGTAAAATTTCCCATGAGGATTTTAAAATTGGAATTGTCAAAAATGATTTGTTTAATTCTGACAGTTTTTAAACGGCTATTTCTCTGTCATTTTTTGAAATTTTTACAATCTGTAAACAGATTTGTGGAACTATAATCAACGTTTTGCAATATAACAAAATATGCGCAATATGTATTGCAAACACATAAATTCAGTTTACTTATAAACCAGTAGTATTTCGATAAAACGTTTCACGTGTAGTTTAACCTTTCTTTGGGTAGGCGGGTTAGATAAAAATATTTGTTTAAGAGGGCAGCCAAGGTCAAGGGGTACCTCTGAGTTTTTAAAGTTCTTCGATATTTCGTTGAAGAGTTATTACTAAGAACTCAAACTTGCGGTAATTTTTAATACTTGTTAAAAAAAGTAAATTCAGTTATAAAACAAATCGTTAATATTTTGAAAAAATTTTTTGATAAAATTTTTTTACAGATTGGAAAAATTTACAACAATAACAAAGTTACAACAATTTAAAAAATGACCGGACTAGAAGGATATATATTTAAATATATATACATATATATCCCTTTTTAGACCCATGATACAAATTACAAAATTGTCACCAACATTATATGATTAAAAGGAGCAAAGAAGATGAAAATGATTACAAAATGTTTTTGTTACCACTGTCTTCATTATGAGGAGAGGTGACACATATAAATATAAAACTGTCCATGAAACAACTTTTAACATTTAACTGATCTGTTTCTGTAGAATAGATAAGATGTTTCATGAAGAGATAAACTGCTATCCAATACAAAGACAAGCCACGCATAACCAAGACAATTCTATGATTACATTATTTTAGATACTCATAACATGAAAAAGACATTGTTTCGAGGTATTCTGAAGCTGCATCATGATTTTTTTATAGCAATCAAATGTTAGAATTGCAAGCTCTTGAAACCTGTAAAAATCTAACATTTCTGGCGTGTTCATATTATGCTTTTTTGTAAGGTTTATTTGCAAATAAAATAAAATTATTACAAATTGAACTCTTAGCAGAGAGTGAGATATTAGCAATCAATTCTTATCTACTTAACTTTGATCATTAATCAAGTATACGAAATGTTTCTTAATTCTTTGTAAAATGTAATACAATATCGTTTAAACCCAAAAAACTTAGAGTCTTAGACTCCGCGGTAGCAGTACATAAAATATATGAAAATATAAATTCTTGATATGATTGCTGTCTCGAGACAAATGTAATTTTGTTACAAAAAAAACCAAACTGAACATTCGTCACAAATTTAAATTAATAAATCCTTATATATTTGAAACCTGATAAAATAGAAATTTGATATTTCAAACCATCAAAAAGTATTAGATAAAATAGTTTGAAATATCAAAGCAATAATTTAGGATTTAAAATTAAGATTTTGTTGCAAATATCAAAATATCAAAATAAAGAGCAACTTAAAGAATGATTTAAACAATTATTACTGTCATTAGATCATTTGGACATTGTGTAGAAACAAACTTTAAATATAAGTTGTTTGACCTTTAATATTACCATGCTTACCTTGAGAAACAAATTTTAAATATAAGTTGTTTGACCTTTATAATATTACCATGCTTACCTTGAGAAACAAACTTTAAAGATAAGTTGTTTGACCTTTAATATTACCGTTAATATAAACATTACCTTTTACAAACATTCAGGTTCGCATTTTAGCAACAAGTGCAAGAATTTAAAATTTATATTTATGACCATTGCATATTGGCGTTTACAAAAATTTCTTTGTTTGAAATTTTAAACCATTTCACGAGGGGTTAAAGTAAAACAAAGCAATTTCTTTATGAACTTAAATAAACTGAGTAAAAACTTTATATGATGTAGCAAAGCCCTAAACTTTACAGCTAACCTGCTTTTCTGATTGAATTCATTAAACAAAATGAAGTGATGATTGAAATGCCTTTTTCAGTGGCAAAAGCTCCAAAAATTGCCTTACATTATCTTATTTTATTGTAAATACTACTCAAAACTTTCCACCTAATAAACAGATTCTTCTGTCCGTTCTTAGTTTTGTGTATATCGTTTCCGGAATCGTTTCCGGAAGAGACTTGGAAAAAAAAACTTTGGAAAAAGTCCTGAGAAAAATGTAACGAGATATGGTCCTGTATTTTAAATTCCTGGGATTTTTTTCCGTAAAAAACTTTAATTATAATTATACTTCTTATTTCAAGGACAATTTTTTCACATTACTTTTTAGTGCTTACTTTTAGGGAAAATCCGAAAACTTTTATTCAGAGATTTTTTTCTGGTGGATACCCATTTTCAGGGTCGTTCTAGAGTTGGACTTTTTTCCATTTGTTCGTTCATTGTTTGTCAACAACACATATTCAAATAGAAAAAATTCTAAAAATTATTAAATCTTTTGTTCAGTAAAAAAAATACCGTTTTTAAAAGTACATTCGAAAAAAATGTAGTCAGTAAAAACGACACAAAATGCCGACCGTTTTTTTAAAGTTCGTTCGACAAAATCGTTCGTCATTATATTTGTTTAGAATTCCTTCAAACTAACAACTAAGAAAATAAATGTGAACGATCGTTTATGAGTTTAAATTGGTAGTTTCAAAAAAAACGATCGTTTTTTTTTCTCTGAGCCATGCAGTTTCTTCGTCCATCGTTCGTTAACTTTTCCGAATGACACGTTAATTTTTAAATATTTCATTCGTTAACAAAAATTTTGCATGTCCATTGTCCATCTTTATCTATACTAAATGTTGCATGTCCATTGTCCGTCTTTATCTAAACTAAATGTTGCATGTCCATTGTCCATCTTTATCTAAACTAAATGTTGCATGTCCATTGTCCATTGTCCATTGTCCATCTTTATCTAAACTAAATGTTGCATATCCATTGTCCGTCTTTATCTGTACTGAATGTTGCATGTCCATTGTCCATCTTTATCTATACTGAATGTTGCATGCCCATTGTCCATCTTTATCTAAACTAAATGTTGCATGTCCATTGTCCATCTTTATCTAAACTAAATGTTGCATGTCCATTGTCCATCTTTATCTAAACTAATCCATTGTCCATGTTTATCTGAACTAAATGTTGCATGTCCATTGTCCATTGTCCATGTTTATCTAAACTAAATGTTGCATGTCCATTGTCCATCTTTATCTAAACTAAATGTTGCATGTCCATTGTCCATCTTTATCTATACTGAATTCTTTTAAGTCATCTATACTGATCACCATTTTCACCCAGCTGGCAGTCGTTTATAAATATTTGTATGCCGACATTCGACAAATTCTCTCTATTTCAGTTTTTAATTCCACCCAATCTTTATACAAGCAGAGAGAAATTAACATGTAAAGAAAAGAATTAGAAACTTGTATTTCGATTAAAAAGTTCAATTATTTTGTTTGGGTTTAGAGATGTTTCTCATCTAATTATTTTGTCCGCTCTTTGAACTGTTAAAATCACCACCCACCCACACACAAGTGACGTATACGACAAAACATTCAGTCGGAGCAAAGACATCAACCAGAGCACACCTCTCGGTCACGTGTTCATCATTTTTAAGTAAGCGTAACCCTCCATGCAAAGACAGCAATGCCCTGTTCTTAAAGGTTCTTTTCAAACCTATTTAAGATCAATATTGTGAAAGATATTTTTGGTTTTCTTTGTGTAAAAGGGTTTAATCCCATAATTCCCTTATATTTTGCTGCAGAAGAATCAATATTTCAATTGAAAAAATATTTTTATGTCAGTTGATAGAATTCATCTCTTCGTAGCTAAAGTTTTCAAGAACACCACGGGCACACTAAAAAATCATGAGGTTCACTTGCATAAAAAACTTAACAGTCCCTTATGCAGACAAAGAATTTATGTTTGGTTGTTAAAAACAATGACGCATGTACAAAAGTGCGTTACTGCCAAAAATTCTACGGTTTAGAAGCATCTTTTTCTTTGGCAGGGTGTTAATTGTAATGAATGGTAGATTTGTAGCTTTAAAATCTTCAAATTTAAGGCTACAATGAGAACCAGAAAACTTGGGAATAGAAAGACGACATTAAAACAGAATATAAGTTTAATTGTTGCGGTTGCAAAGCAAAGGGTCAATTCTGATTTGAAATCATA